CTTGCTGGCTCTTCCGGACCCATTCCTACCGTGGCACCTGCAAAAGAAACCACACATTTGGAAGCTTACATAAGGAAACCTACACTTTGAAGCCCTACAAAAGGTAACGACACCGGACCCCCAGTGCATCTTTTTAATCGGTAAAGCATTACAGTGAAACGTATTGCGGGAAAAAATCTCATGTGACAAATTGAGAGCGTCTTTAGACAAATGGGGGCAAATTTGGGGAAGATATACGAGTGCAGCTAGTGACAATTTTTAGTACTGATTTTTTGCTTTAAAATTTTTTATAAGATTTTGATTTGGGCCCTTAAAAATTGGAGCTCTTGCATATTAAAATTCGAGGTTTTTCTTTCTTGTGATACTTTTCCGAAAAATTTTTAATTATACCTGCGAAACAAAAAATGCTCAAAATTATCAGGTTAGTCATCGAAAAAAAACAGTGTTACCAATTTCACGATAGTGATAAATGAAACTCGTGTACAAAACCCCCTGGGACGTCTGCGTTGACCAAATAGAAAAAGGGGGTTCACAAAACCCTTGAACATCGGGGGACCACTGGCATCGGGACCTGGGAAAATCAGTGATCCCCCGAAATCATGATCCCGAAAATCTGATCCCCGAAAATATTGACCCTGCTCAGTAAATCTTAAATATTATGACGAATTCACCCGTTTTAATTTTGGTATTGTCCTGAGCTTCAGGGGTTGGTCAGGGGGCATAATTAGTTCCTTGGGTTGTAAAAAACCTTTATGGTTTTTGGGCTGAGCATTGGGTCTGTTTCTATTGAAGTTTCTTTTTTCTTAATTCCACCCAAAATGGGAAATATTTTTTTTTTGTCTTCCCGGAAAAAAGAGCTCAATAAATAACAATAACCCTAAAGGAGGAGGGGTTGGTTCGAAAAATGTTTTTTGTGTGTGGATATATATATGTCGGCCCAATAGGCAGAATTGCTATTTGGGTTAAATAGCAACGCCTCTTGCCCTTGGACAAGGAAAAATTTGTTTTACAATAATTTCGCCAAAACATTCGAACCCAAGAAAAAAATATTTCACGGTTTGTTTTTATTAAATTTTTGTAAACAAATTAAAAAAAATATTTAGTTGGGTTTGGCAAAAAAAATTTTTCTTGTTTAATAAAGGGTTTGGTAAATTTTTTAAGATTCTTTTGGGAGCAAAATTAAAAAATTTTTTCATTTCATTAAAGAAAAAAAAATATCTTAAACGTATAAGAGAAAATTTTGAAAAAAATTTTAAATTTTAAAGAGTTCTTCTAATTGACCCGTTTTACATATTCGGCACGATCATATAAAATATATTATATATATAAATTTTATATATATATTTTTTTTAAATTTTTTATAAAATTTTATTTTTAAATTAATTATTTGATGGAAATTTTGTTTGCAATAAAAATTTAAATATTAAAAAAAAAATTAACAAATTTTTGTTTTTAAAAGGGGGGGCAAAATTTAATTATGTTTTTACTTTTTTCTGTTTAAAGAGGAGCCCAAGATAGCAAAAAAAGGGTTTACTAACAATTGAAAATTTAGGTAAAAGGGGGGAAATTAGAGGTTTAATTTTATGAGGGGGTTCGCTGGCAGAATCGGAAAATAACTTTATACCAATAAAATATTTTAAAATTTATTCATATTTTTATTTTATATATGTTTTGCTTTTAAAATTTGCTATTTATAAAAAAATATTTATTTTAATTTTTCTAAATTTTTTGCATTTAGTTACCCGGCACGTTAAAAGTTTAACTAAAGATTGTAATTCACCCCCTTAATTGGCCAAAAAAGACCGGACATAAGGTTTTTGGGGGAAAACCAATTGTCTTTTTATCCTAAAGTTAAATGATCTTAACTTTCCTTTGCAAACAAGAACACATAAATAATAAATTTTGAAAATTTATCAACCATTATGTAATATCCCCTTTTGCCGAAATTAAAAAATTTTAAAAGAAGCAAAACAAAAAATTTTCTAAAAAATGTAAAAAAAAAAAAAATAAATTTTAATAGAATGATTTTTTTCCCCTTAATAAAATACAACTGTTCCCGGACCACCCCCGGTTTAACAGCCACCCCTTTAGGCTGAAAATTCAAACGCCTAAACCACTTTTAAATTAATGTAATTAAAAAAACATTAGCCTAGGCCTCCTGTGTAAAAAAAAATTTTAAAAATTATTAAAAAAAAAAAATTTTTTAAAAAATAAATTAAAAAATATAATATATATTAAATGTATATAAATTTATAAGTCGGGGGCTGACCTGGAAAATGGGGAAGACAATGCCCTGCACTTTAAAAGGAGGGGGTTTGGGTAGGCATTTTGGAAATTTTTATCTTTTTAATATATTTTAAATTTATTTAATAAAAATATAATTTATTTAAATTTATATATAATATTTTCTTTTTATTTTTTTTTTTTTTATTTTAAAATTTTAAAAAAATATATTATTAAAATTTCTATATATATATATTATATATATATTAATTTTAAAAATATAATTATTAAATATATATTTAAATAAATTTTTCGGCCCATAGGAAATTGGTTATTGAAAGAAAAATAATTAAGTCTTTTCAAAAAATTTCCTTTTATTCGTTTAAATATATATTTTTTTCATTTGTTAATGAAAAAATTAATAACTTTGTACCAAAAGAACTTAGAAAACTTACCTAACCTTATTGTAACAAGCGCAATTTAATTTTATCCTAATCCAACTAAATATATTTTAGATAAGTTTAAAATTTAAATTAATAATAAATTATGAAATATTTTTTTTTCTTTAGGTTCAGAATGATTTTTGCGAAATTATTGTATACACAAATTTCGTTTGCCTTATTGGGCAAGAAGAGCGTTGCTATTTAAGCCAAAAATCACAATTAACATATTCGGCACTGTATATATATATATATATTTTATATATATATATATATATATATATATATATATAAAATATATATATATATATATATATATATATATATAATGTATATATATATATATATAATATATATCATATTCTTTCTTGTCTCAGGAAAACATGAACACACTGATTTACCAATTAGTGTTAATGGTTATCGCGCCAGCGTTCACTACGGTCGTAGCTAATCAGGAAGTAGGTGGAACCGTACTGCAGGTGGACGTTGATGTGGGCGTCATATTGGGTCAAGTGCTGAAGCACCCTTTCACCAGCTGTCACCTGGTGCTCATCACCACAACACCCCACTCACTCATTACCCTCAGTATCCTCAGGTATCTTCATCATTTTCAGCAGGTATTCTAACGAAAGTATCCTTGTAGTAGAAGTAGGGTGAGAGGTTACCATTTAAATCAATTCACTATACCTTTAAAAATAATGTATTTTTACTTACATATAGATGGCTGCGTGAAGGCTTGAAGCCTTTTGTAATGGTGGAGACAGGCTTAATGTTTTCCAAGGACCAGCTGGCTCAGCACTACCTCCTCCAGGGGCTGTGGGGTGACACTAGAACTACCTGCCTGGGACTCATCCTCGACCTCACTAAAACCAACAGTAGTGCCTCTGCCCTCCGGTAATGTTTACAGATCATCATGGAGAAAAATTACTACATTTTTCCAAATATATTGATTAAATTTAATGGACGAACTTACAAGCAAATAAACCCTCTGGAATGCTTGCAGGTGTGCCCCCAGTCTGGTCTAATACCAGAGGAGTGGTTGGTATTATACCAGACCTTGATTTACCTCCCAGCAATAGCGTAAGCATGATGAGGCCTTAGTTATTCCTCGTGAACTAATCAAGCTGACTTAAAACTTTTACAGGAACATAATTCATTCGCTCATATGTTATTTCGAGTAAAATAAGTGGTTTACATAATAGCCACGCCGGATAATAATTCTCAAAACCGTCCGCCATATCTTGCCTACCTGTCAGATATACTTCCATAAGACAGTTTTAGAAGGCATTTCCTATTGTCCTTTCCTTCTTTTTTATTTATAAGCAAAATAAAAATATACCTATTTAACATATACGTCAGTGAAGTGAGTTAAAAGACATTTAAAATAAGTAATACGTATGAAAAAACGTATCATAATGTGAAAATAATATTATCATGAAGTTCTTAACTATAGTTAGCCAGATACGAATGTGCAAACTATTAGCCTAGGAGGCCTATTTTTATAGAAGTAAGAAGAATGTTAGACATATATCAAGTCCATTTTAGAGTACGCAGCGCCAGTATAAAGCCAATATGTCTCTTTGTTTGGACGCTAAAGACACACATGAGCCACAGGTATGTCAGGAAGTATTTCTTCAAACTCAAAAGTGGTCGGGAAGTGGAATTACCTCGATGAAGAAGTAATGGAGGCAGACGCCATACATAGTTTTGAGAGGTACAATAGGGCCCACGAGGCTAGGAGTGAATCCGTCAAGCCGCCACATATAGATGTGAACATACTCGATGAGATGCTGTTCCCAATTGTTCTGATAATTGTCTTGGTTTTGCACTGAGACAAAAACGAGACGGTTTATTGGAATAGTTTATACGCAAATTTTATATAAAATAATTCCTAACAGGCTGGCAGAGGCAGCAGGACTGTGGAAGTTATCACATACTCGTGTTGTGGTTGTTGGAGGGAGAGCAGGAGTGCAGGATGCGCTTTCCCTTTATCACAGTCCCCCGTAATACTGTCCACGCTGTCTACCTGGCCTCCCACATTCATTACACACAGCCACATCACCTAGAACTTCCCCAGGCATGATGGTCGTACACTTATCTCCATTTTTTCATTCTACTTCAGGTTCTGATTACGTTAGATCCACATATAAATGGTCGGGTTCGAATCCCCGCTGACCCCCGATCGTTTTTTCGTATATTATATTATATATAATATATATATTATATTATTATATTATATATTAAAATATATAAAATATAATATATATATATATATAATTATATATTTTATTAAAATAATATTCGAAAACTTCACCTGACAGTAACAAGAGTGTAGAATGTGGGTGTACCGGCGGTGTCTGTACTGCAACAATGGAGAGGCTGACGTTCAACTTGTAATCTATCAGAGCCACACATCACTCTTCCCACAAATGGATATCTTTAATGCTAAAGGTTTGGCTGTATTCTTTGTTGAAGTCATTTGGTTACTTGAAGGCCTCGTAAAATGAAATATATCTGAATTATCACTTGATATTATGCATTGCTACATAATTTCATGGATAGAAATTTAAAATACAGTTAGCTCTATGGATCCAGTAAATAAACAGCTATTATTTCTAAATGTTACCGAATAAACGCCTCTATATCAAACATTTGAAATCTAGATCCTAACAGCGTACTGTTGACAAATATGAGGACACGTTATCAGAACACAGCTTCCACTGGCGTATTATTTCCTTACATTAAGATCTTAATCAAGACATACAAAGGATGCACTGTGCACACACGTATGTTCTTCAACCTAAAAGGATTATAATTATGTATATACGTGCATTTCGTATCTTATGTATGACATAAAAAACAAATCATTTCTATACACAATCCCAATATAAGCTTGTTCTGCAGGTGTTCCTTATCCTTACGTAATATAGAACGTTCATATATAATTTAATTTCACTTTCTATCGGTAAACTGTAATTATGGTAAAATTATATTCCTTCATATATATAATATATTCACCGCTGGAGTTGCTTTTATATTAGGTTAAAATGGTCAATTATTTCCTCAACAGATGAGCTGAGTTCTCTGATGGGTCACAAAGTTCGTATTGTAGCAGTACCTTACTTCCCGTACATGGATTACGAGACGACCACTCAGGAGCCAGGGGGCATAATCATTCCCAGGGACTCTGTTGACACCAGGCTTATTTACACCTTTGCATCAGCAATTAATTTTACGTAAGGAAAATCTGTTAAATTTTGTTGTATTAGTAAAATTTTATAATGGAATTTGCTTTTATGTGTATTAATAGGAACAGATAAATAAAATTGTGATGCACAGAAAATTTTTAGTAGTAGCAGTAGGATGTATTTGCCTCCTGTTCAGCAGACGGAGGATCGATCCTCACTCACGGCTTTGTGTGAATTCCAAATACCGATTTAACGCTTCACATAATAATAATAATAATAATAATAATAATAATAATAATAATAATAATAATAATAATAATAATAATATATCTGTTAAAAATAAATAAGCTTTAAGAAATAATGAAATAAAAACATTTGAACAAAGTTAATCATAATCAGAGACACATTCCATATAAATAAGTAAATGTAACGTGAGATGCCACATTGACACAGAACTCTTAAATATTTTAAATATTTTTAAAACACCTTACACTTCAAAGTATGAATATCACCTGCCTAAATCAAGAGAGAAATAAGGGATGACGGTATACACGGTGTCTTGACGACTTTCTATTATTAAGTACTGCAGTTGTTTAAGAGTCATAGAATTTCACTGTTTAATCAATATTCAGTATGTATTTAACAAGAAATACGGTTTGGCAAGGAGTTCTATAAATTAAACTTACATCACACAGAATTTACAGACCGAAAGATGTGTTTTAGTGTATGCTGAGAGTTTATTTTGATTCCTATTTTGAGCATTAAAGTAATCTTGGCTGGAGGTGAACAGGTGAAATGCAGCTTTACCGACCCATGTGTAGTCGATTGGCTTCAAACCCCCCTAACCAACCAACCAGAAATGTTTAAATCTAACTTCATTCTATAGGCAATAATTAATATATTCACTGAATTATCTATTAGTTTTTTCAATTTTCATTATTGGATGAAAAGCTTTGAAATTCGCGAGGAGCCTGAACGATCGTGGGGGCTGCAGGAGAACGGCGTCTTCACGGGGATGATGGGTCAGCTCCAGCGGGAAGAGACAGACTTCTGTACCATAGCTGGTCCCTCACCGGAGCGTCTGAAGGTCGTGGAGTACCTCAGGGGGTATCCTTCAGATCTGATGACACTGACGTCTCTTAAACCATCTCTCCTGCCACAACACCTGTCGTTAATAAGACCTTTTCAAGGTACTGAGATATGATAAACTGTCATTTTGTTAACTCAGATATTTTAAGTAATTAAAATTAACGAGGTGTTAGGAAGGAATAAATATGAAATTTTGAATTTCTCTAAAGATTATGAAGCTTCAGCTCATTTATCAGGAGAGCTGTGGCTGGCGATGCTAGTGAGTGTAGTGGTGTGGAGCGTGATCCTGTGGCTGCTGCAAAAAACGTGGAAGAGGTCAGGCGATGGGCAGGAAGTCAGCCTCGCTACCACCCTCTTGTATGGCTTGGCATTACTCCTGGGAAAGCCACCAGCAACAACTCTCTTCTTCAATAACTCAGGAAGAGTAAGTTACACGTCAGAGTTCATACAGATGCCTTTCAACCAGAGCCTTGCTAAATATGTTATTCTAATCTTGGCTCATTCATTAATTGATATTGATTCCTCTCATGTTCTGATAATTTTGTGTATTTATTTTGTACATGATATATATAAGAAATGAGTGGTAAACTTATATATAACTGAAGAGGTACAGTACATTCCACTGTGACAGAAATTAAAACAGAGCAGAAATACCTGAAAGTAGAGACATGTTACTTGGTGCTTCTTTTAACTGTATCAGGAAGGACAAAAAAATCCATAACAAGTAACTTAAGGCTCTACATTTACTTTAAATGATAACGTGCAGAGAAGTGAAATTTTTCCTGTAACTACCGTTCATGGAAGCCCAATACCCCCTCATAACTATCTCTGCCTACAGCTGTTAGTCGGGTGGTGGCTAGTGTTCTGCCTGATCATCACTACGGGATATAGTTCATCACTGATCGCCCATATGACTGTACAAGGAAAGACCAGACCCATAGAGACCATGGAGGACCTTGTGAAGCAGCACAACTGGAAGTGGGCTACTGAACCATGGCTGCTTAAAGGGGTACCTTTTGATTATTTTTCCAAGCATACTGACCCTGTTGTGAAAAAAATATTTAAAAATATGGAGGTGAGTCCCGGGAAATATACATAAACAAATTAGCATTGCATTTCAATTCGAATTTAGAGCAATTTAAAATTAATATTCATGAATGTATGTACATGCATTGATATGAGAGAATTAAGTAAGTCACAAGACACAGTATCACATGAAATTATGTAGTGAGAAATAGTTAGCAATAAATACCAAGTATATTCTGTGTTTTTTCTCGGGTTGCAAACTCGGTATCCGCTGTCATTTAAACATGTTTAATGCCATAAGTGTAAATACACAATATGAACAAGATAGTAGCAGGACTATTTATCACTCTGTGTAGTGCTTTACCAAGCCATTATTTGACGAAGCTCAACCCTGAGTGAAACGAAACACCAATAGCAAATTCTTCTGTGTACTGTCTTCATTCTTATACCTGCCGGCGTTACGCCATTACATACGTCTTTAATGCTAATAATTACCATACGTGAATACCTTTAAAATCCTTGTTTTCAGGTAGAAGTGGCAGACAGTGCGCTGCAGAAGGTCCTAGCAGGCAGCTACACCTTAATTGATTTTGAGAACTACGTGACTATCATCGTGGCTTCCCGATACACTGACACCCGTGGCAACACTCCTTTCTTCGTCAGTAAGAAAACATTCTCTATAATGGCTGCCTTCGGCTGGGGCTTCAGGTGAGTCGTCTTTAGAGAGGATGTATATATATATTATATATAATATATATATATATATATAATATATATATATATATATATATATATATATATATATATATATATATATATATATATATATATATATATATATATTAATATATATATATATTATATATATTAGATAATTTACTTAACACAAGTTGCTACATTCAATATTACATGGATTGGTTATACATCTCTTTAATATTTAATGTTATTTTTTAGGAAAGGCGCACCATTCTATCCTCGATTTCACCAGCTGGTATCCCGTCTTGAAGACGCTGGAATCGTAAGTTACTGGATTAAAGACGTGATAGAGAGACGAGTAAGGGAGAACAGGAAGACTGCAGCACTGAACTCGCAGTCTGCTCTAATAACTACACCATCGGTATATATATCATATCATTTGAGAACTACAACACCGGTTTAAATATCACATCATCTGAGAACTAAATCATTGGTATATACGTATATATCACATCATTTGAAAACTACATCACCGGTATATTTTTCACATTATTTCATAGTCTTCTTGAGTAGCAATGTAGGACATCGGGGACCTACATCAAGCAAACTTTGTTTTTTAAATGGGATGGAGAGAAACTTTACGAAGCTAACCAGTGGCGGAAAAAACAATTGCAGAGATGAAATTTATTGAGACGTATCGTCTGTGGAACAATCTTTTTCATTGACTGAAGAAACCCTGTTCCACAGCCGAAACGTCTGAATGAAGTTCCTCTCTGCAATTGTCTGTATCGCCATTTTTAATTTAATAATAGAAACAGAATTCTCTCGTCAATTTTATATTAATTTTAAGTAACTTTAACACGTTAAACAAAATACCTAAGTGCCTTTTTGAAAAAAAAAAATATGCCATTCTTTTCTCTTCTAAGAGTATTTTGTTTCAAAAATATATTCTTAAATCCCCATTATAAAATATTACCTCGTCATTGCTTTATTCAATCTTCAGCAGTATTTCTATCAAAGATAAATTTAATTGTCTTATTTACAAATTCGTTTACAGCTCTGTATGTCTGATCTTTTCAACTTTTTACGTTGATAAGGAGGAGAGTATTTATGAATGTTGCTGTGTGTAATTTAAACATTTCTTAATTCTCTCTAATTAAAACAATTATGGAAATGCAATGGAAAATTTATGGTGAAGGTTGACTACAGACTTCGTGTTATTCTGCAGGGCGACCAGAGCAATATTGCACTCGGTATACGTCATATGCAGGGAGCGTTCTACGTGGTGTTCCTTGGCTCCAGCGTTGCTTTCCTCACTCTGCTGGGGGAGAACCTTGCTTGCTGGAGGAGAACCTCACCTGCTGGGGTAAAAAACTCGTCTCCTGGGGTTGAACCTAATCCAGTATCCCCCATTGCAGCATCACCTGACCATGAGACTAAAAATATAGTCAAATGACTGAAAAACATGCAGGATCCTTGAGAATATAAAAATTACATTGGAAAAAAAATCCAAATTCGATGCCAGTTTCTGTAAATTATAGGTAAGCAACATATAGACTCGAATTAAATTAGGCGAGTCTAAGATCATTATTTCATAACCGGGTTATGTCGTTTGCAGTTTTATATCTGTTTAATTACGTCTTCATCTTTCCTCTGACTTCCAGGACTTAAAATCTACGAATTTTACCTTCTTCCTGTCACTTTAATCGTTGTGTAAACAAGTCATACCTGCCAAATGCTGAATTTATCCAGAGGAACTGGTTTAAAATTCCATTTAAAAAAAATATATTCCTCCAATATGGCGAGCTGCTTTCAATCACTCCATGCTGAAAGCGTAAGAAATTTATTTATTTACATTGCTGGAATATACACTTTATTCACCGTCTGCACCAGAAGTCAAGATTTTTTCCTATCAACATGATAATATTCACCATCATACCATGAATGTGGGACAGCCAAATGTTACATTTTGTTTGCTTTTTGTCATTAAATATTTATCAAGGGTAAAAGATCTATTTTGCCTCGTACATTATTTCTTTTCCTTGTAGATACGTGTATGTGTATATCTTTTACTATAGATATGTGTATTAAAATGAATTCAGCTGTTTGTCGTTTTCCTAGAAATTCAGTGTCAATACATTTTTTTACTAAAAAAAGGAGACTTACTTGAATTATGCCAAAACATGTTAGAGCCACACCTTAAAAAAAAACATTTAAAATACCTAAGTATGATGTTATGCTGAAGACTATATACTGTGTACTATTCATAATCTCTAAATGCACTGTTAGTCACCCAAACTATGTGTAGGTATTTGTATTATAAAAGTTTGCAGATTTCAGAATTTATAAGCTTAAGTTGTATACATTTTATGCTGGAATGTGTTTTCTTGCGGAGACTCACAATATCTTGAACACGAGATATGCAAGAAAACTATCTTTGTAGAGACACATGTTTAAAGTCGATGATTGTGTCCCTCAGATGTTGAATACGTGGTGTGTGTGTGTGTGTGTGTGTACTCACCTATTTGTACTCACCTATTTGTGGTTGCAGGGGTCGAATCATAGCTCCTGGCCCCGCCTCTTCGCTGATTGCTACTAGGTCCTCTCTCTCCCTGCTTCGTGAGTTTTATCACACCTCGTCTTAAAGCTATGTTTGGTTCCTGCCTCCACTACGTGTGTGTGTGTGTGTGTGTAATTACCTATTTGTGGTTGCAGGAATCGAGTCACAACTCCTGACCCCGCCCCTTCACTATTCGCTACTGGGTCCACTCTTTCCCTGCTCCATGAGCTTTATCATACCTCGTCTTAAAGCTTTGTATGGTTCCTGCCTCCATTACGTGTGTGTGTGTGTGTGTGTGTGTGTGTGTGTGTGTGTGTGTGTGTGTGTGTGTGTGTGTGTCTGCGTGCGCGTGCGTATGTTTGCATGTAGTACAAACATCACTCGGAGGTCTACCTGTAAAATAACCAATCAGAACTTCACTTGCTGGTGACGTACTCACAACCCTACTGGCTCCTGCACCGCCCAGCTGAGCCTCGCCTATAAAACAGCAGTCGGACACTATACAGTGAGCCATTCATCTCGTGCTGGTAGTTAAGGGAGATTGTGAGAGCCTCGTCCACCTGCGTAAGTACAATCGTTCGTGAAATTACTTCATTGCGGATTCTTGTCTCTTTTTTTTTTTAAATAAAATGCTTTTGCAAATGTTTGGAATTCGTGTGTGATTTAGACTTGTAATAATTTCGTGGTTCGTTGGGAAATTTAGAGAATTTTTCTTTTCCAGTCATAAGATGAAAAATGCAAATAAAAATATTATTTTCTTGGTGACCTGGGATTACTATGTTTAAAAGTCCAAGCAAAAGAAAAAAAAAAATTATCCACTCAAGAGCTGAATTTATCATTAGTATATTATCATACGAGTGACTTCATACCTGATTAACACACCTTGACTTCATACCTTGATCAACATTCATGTGCATTCCTCAAACCTTGATGCAGGTGAAGGGCTCTGGATCCAGAAAGTTGAAACTATCCTCCCCTTACTTGGATCAAAACTGCTTATCTTCAGTTTCTTATTCTTTTTTCTCTATACTCTAATTATCTGTTTGAAGTTAAAGGTCTTGTGTGTTTTTCTGCCTGTGTCTATTACCTACCAGAGTTTACGTGGAGGGGGAGGGAAGGGAGTGTGACTTCTAGATCTTGGTTCTCCTGCCTCACTACTAAGAAAAGTTAATAACACTGGTATATCTGATTTTGAGCCCCCTTCCTGTAACGCATATCCTCTCATTGCACAAGTCTCACTTTAGATACTTCTGCACTGTAAAGTCCAGCAGCTTTCTC